CCCCCCCGCCCTCACTGCCCCAAGTCCACGTATATTTGGGGACCTCCTTAAACACCATTTCAATCAAACAAAGCAGTTGCCAAACGCGCGCCGTCCGTTAAGCGCGCTTCATCTGACGCGCTTCATCTGACTTTCACTATTGACATCCAAAGTGTCAACGCGAGACCCCCTCTTGAATTTCCGTCGTGGCCACCACACCGACCTCATAAATCAGCGAGGATAACCCCGCCCCCGCCGCGAAAAATGCCTGTTTAGTATTCGTTCGACACGTCTCTACGACTGACACAAGAGCGCCGTAATTAAATGTGACTTGTGTCATCTCTGCAGCTCAAACAAATTAAATGCAGGCACGCCCTCGCTTGACGAAATCCCCCGATGGCGCCCACTCGACATTTATTCGATCCCGGTTCAACGCTTAAGAATTGCATGCTGTCTAAGATTCATCCTACGAAAAAAGTCATTTGCGTGTTTCAAAACAGCCGTTTTCTTTCCTGCATTGCCTTAACGGTGGTCGGTTTAGCTTCATGCTAGCAAAATGCCATAGACGAGCTAATGAATAACATTGCTCTTGTGCCGTTATGTCCCTTGAAGAAATGGATATTTCAGTTTGTATCATCAAACTTCGATCTATATATTTTTTAAAGGTGTTTTGGTATTATCAGTGCAGTCACGGTTTGAATTAAAATCATATCTTTACATGGGGGGGAATCCGACAGTAGGTTCTATTCTTTAGGCTTTTTATAGCACTTGCTCTGATGTTTTTATTTTATTTGTTTTATAACCCCTAGTTCAATGCATTGTGCTTACACACACACACACACGCAGAAAAAAAAAACAGTGCCAAGACTGGCTCAGTTTTTCCAAGAGAAAAAAAAATGTTTATGCAAGTGAAATGCTCTTCCACAAAAACTGCCTGATTAAAAAAAAAAAATAGTATGGTGGCACACGGACACAAGAAAGCAAATTTTTACCATGATTTGAGATCTTTTGTCTTGTTTGGATTTGGCTTTTTTGCAACACACACACAGAGTTGACCGCCGCGTGACTGGGCGCCACCAGCTAGCATGCGAATTTGGCCCACGGCTCGTGCACAGCAGGCACAACTGTACGTGTCAGCATGTGTGTGCGCGCGCGCGCGAGAGACACTGTAGGTGGGATGCGGCGCTCGCATCTGCACACGCAAGCAAGTGGGCCTCCTCCAGGGCCACATGAAGCAGCAGCAGCAGTTGCGGGGGGGTTCTTGTTTTAAGATGAAGTCACGCAAGCTTTATTGATTTTTTTTTTTCCTTCTCCATAGGGATGAAGATGATGACCCTGGCGAGTGTAAAAGCACCCCCCCCTCCGCCCCCACACCACTACCACCACCCCCAGCCAAATCTGTTCCTCCACGCTGGCAGCAGATGTCTGAGCTGGAAGCGCCCGAGAGCGAGCACGGCGGCGCCATGGTGTACATTGAGCGTTGAATATTGTTTGCAAATCAAATGTGTTGTTGCCTCAGGGGGGCCTTGTTCGGATGTGTTTGTTGTTGTCATGGAAGGGGGGCGGGTGGGGTACGAGCGCTTCTGCCTGCCGTTCTGTTGGTTTTGCCAAAAGACAGAAACTCTTCTGACTTGGGTGCTTTGCAATATTTTTATCGGTGTGCTTGTTTTTTTATTGACATTTTTTTTTCAAACACACATGCAGCACATGATTTACAGGAGACAGCCCTCGCTCAGAAAGACCAACTGTGTTTTTTCAAAAATTGACCAGCGATGTTGATTTATTTATTTTTTAAAATCAGTTTAATCAATTAGTAATTGAGGCTGTATGATGTGTGTGTGTGTGTATACACACACACACACACTTGATTGAGCCGTATGGAGTGAGCTTCTTCCTTGCAGGCAAGGTCTAAAAATTGGAATAATATTTTTTAAATAAATATATATTAGTCCTTAAGTTAAAAAAAAAATAGCTTGATTTTTTTAATAAAAATTGGTAGTCTTTGGATTTTGTCAACCTAAAATTAAATGACTAGTTTCAAAAACATGAAATCAAAAAGTATTAAGCACTGTAAAAACACTTGTCATTTTCATTGTCGCTACAAAAAGGGGGGGGGGGGGCTATGAATCCATCTTTTTTCCTCTCTCTCTAGGTCAGATCCCAGTGATTTGGAATACCTGAGATGCTACCAGTCCCAAGCGCACCAGACCCAAGCGCCACATCTGTAGAATGAAGTTCGACTCCCATTTAGTGACGCAAGAAGTCGACATTTTCTTGGGTGCATATTTGTTCTCAAGGCACAATGAATCAACATAACAATTATGAAGGTATATGACAAAACAAGAATGCCATTGATTTTGAAAGCAAGACATCATATGGTGTGAATGATGTCATAAGTCAAGTCATTTACTGCTGTCCGCAAATCGCAGTCATCCAATCTTTTCAGCTACAAGAACCCGATTGATGATGTTCCGAAATGTCCAAGATTGAAGAGCTTGTAGTCAAGTCAGCCCGATAATATATCGGATATATTTTTTTCCCTCTCACAGCTCGTCACCAATAACAATCATCCAACACTTATTTGACAAAGCAAGACTGCATTTATTTTGGAAGACAGCCAAGGTAACTGATTTGATTTTGATTGAAAAGGCCACACAGCGTTGTGATGTTCTCAGTTCAACACCAGTCACGATCATCATGAGACTCAAATGGGAAGATTGCTGCTGCGACCTCCAAGTTCACATTGATGTGCCGCCGTGACACTTAAAATTGCTGAATCACAACATGAAATGAAATGCCAACCAGGGTCAGCTTTGTACAAGTGCGTTCGACGCAACGCTCACGAGTCAATTTGCGTGAACGAATGTGACGTCGTAACAGACATCATCCCAAGTGATTTTATTTTTTTTAATCAATGTTCTGCTGACATATTTTTAACCCGAACAGCGGACGAGTGGGGGTTGGTTGGAATCGTGTCTTCCTCCACTTGGTCCACGATCAGGCAGTTTGAAAGACAACCCGGATGTAGAGTGTGACGTCACGACGCCACGTAAGCGTTTAGCTGCTAGCTAGCTGTTTTACACGGATTTGGTCTCCCGATGCACACGCGTGATCCCCTCGCACTATTCACGAATGACTGCTGTTAAGTCAGGTTTTAATTGCACCAGTGCAAAGCACAAGTAAAGTTTTTATGTGCTTTCGAATTTGTGTATTTTCCGATAGCTCCAATATGCTGATTAACGTAGGGTTTCTGATTAATGTATCGGCAACTATGAACATGCCATTAAGCCGACAGTATTTTTTATTAATGAATAGTTGTTGAAGTCAAAACAAATGCAAATATGTGGTTCCATAGTTTTTAGAAAATACGAAAATTAAAAGACTTCCCGTTCCTGCCTGCACCTGAAGCTAATTAGCCTCTTCCGGGCTGCCAGTCAGGCAGCCGCGCCGCGTGCAGACCAACGGCAAACAATTGAGCTTTTTCGTCGTCAAATTCAAGTTCAACCATGAGACTTTTAACATTTCACCTTCACGATTACTATAATATGCTCATCTTATAAGGAAAAAGACAACTTCCGTCCATGATGGTACACTAAGTATTGTTTCCCCCCCCCCGCCTTCTCCATTTATTCCATTTAATTCGTGTCTCTTTTTTGTCCCCTTGGTCAAGGTCGCCATGTTCTTGGATGTGACTGACCGCTTCCGAGGCACGAAGCACCGCGCGGCCGGGATGACGGCATGTCCATAAAGAGGTAATTTTTTTTTTTTTTAAATTACTCGTGTGTATGACAGACTGTGTGCTTCCATACTAGGGTGTGCCCCAGTTTCAGTGGGTTGACCTTTACCAAGTGCAGCTCAGGGTTAGTGCAGGAAAATGGCGGCCACATTATGTCCTCTGTATATTTACATGCTAAAGGTCCACATCTATTTGTATAAATTATGTATTTGGTTCTAAATGAAGGTAGAATTGCTGACGCTGCATGGTTAATTGTTGGCTCTCCCATAGGCCAGAAATAATAAACTTTGTACAGTGGTCACCATGACAACCAGCAAACGTCTTGCACATACTGTACATGAAGTCGTCCTCCGCCCGCCTCATCTTCGATGACCCTCCTCATGCTGTAATATAAGAGTGCGAATGAGTTTGCAGTCATTCAATAGGATTATATATAAATGACAAATTATCATTAAAACAACAACCCTGAGTAAGATAAACCAATGGTGTCAAACATAGGGCCCGGGGGCCACATCAGGCCCCCGGAAGCAAATCAAGCATGTCCATTTACGTAACACTTGCTCAAGTCTGAACCAAATTTGCAAATTGTCAAATATAATCCATAACTGAAAGGAAAATAAACGTGGGTGTCGGAATGTTAGCATGACAAGTTTAAGCTATAAAATCTTGTATTGTTTGAGAAAAACATTTTAAGCTCCCAAACAGGTAATTTTGTCAATTTTCCCGCCAAAATGGAGGGTCACAGCATGCAAATCCGATGAGTGAACGAAGTTTGTTTGGAAAAGCTGTCAATTAGAGCGCGTTTGTCGGTGACCAAAAGCGAGCTCGTTAGCGCTCCTTTGACTCGCTCACAAAGCCGCCGCCACGTCGAACTCGACAAATTGGCACGTATGGACTCGCCGAGGCGTGTGAGAATACATCATCACGCGCCGCCGCTACTGAGCACCCACCCGCGTGTCGTCTTAATCGGCGCGCCGCTGTGGGGATGAGCGCTTGCGCATTCACTCACTTTCGAAAGTGAAATCATGTGGAACCATTTGTACTTATTTCTATTTTGTAATGTTCCACACAATTTTTTCCCCCCGAAAGTTTTAGACCACGCTAACTCAAAGCTTTTGTTGACATAATTTTAGGCTACAACTAGTGAATATAAATCTGATTTGACGTGTGTAGCACGGCAGGCAAGCGTCGGTCATGGTGTACGCGCGACAGACGATCAATAATCGCTCACGAAAATGCTACCCCGCTTCCGAATCAGTCGATGGCCCACAAAAGGCCGCCACTGCGACGTTCCACATCAAAGCTCGACTCTTGCGGCAAATCAATCACTTTTCCCGCCGACGGACGCGGCAACCGTTGAGACGATGGCGATTGTTATCCCAACAAACCACATTAGCAAAATCCACTCGGAATGTATTCTTCCCGACGATTGATGACGGGGTTTCGCGCCGCACAGCTGCTGCAGGTGTATCGATCTGTTTCCGCACTTTGTGTGCCGCGACGCAATGTTGTCACGACAAATAATAAATAAATTACATTAAAAAAAAAAAAAAAAAAAAATCTCCCATACGCCAGGCCAACGTGTGTCCGAGGTCACCTTGGACGCATTAGGATTAAATATGATGGCGCGTCTCAAATCGGGGCTTAAACGCCATGTTGTCTGTAAGCTGCCAGCAAGTGAAAGGAGTCAACACACAAACAGATGGGAGATGCCGATATAGAATAAAATGTACGTGCAGCATATTTAGCCAGTGCATGCTCCAAGCAAAAAATACTATCAGAAAAAGAAACTTCTGCTATGCTGTTATTCAACCAATAGTTTGCCGGTCAAGTATGCAAAGGCCAAACTTGCATCCGAAATGCTCGCCGTCGCTTGACGACATCTGGAAGGAAAATTGGAGACAAAATAATTTGAACTAGTGCAACATTCAAAAGGTGCTTTTTTTTCTCCTTGATCCGATGACATCATCCAAAAAAGGTTAGGGAAAAGGTAGCATCAAAGTTTAGGAGGCCCGAGGAATTGTTTGACTCGCCTCGCACGTGTTCAAATGTTGTTCCCCAAAAACATGAGCTAAGTCACTTGCGTGATGTCACTGTTTAAAAGTCATCTTTGATGATTTGCATGTGCAGAGGAGCCCGCCACGGAAACGGGCTGCCTTCCACGTTGACCCGCGCGTCATCGGCCGTCACCTGTACTGCGGAGAAGCGTTTGTAGTGGCCACGTTGTCGCGCTCAGGTAACTTGCTCAACTTTGCCACGCTTGCACCGCAGGCAGGAGCAGAATAATAAGAATTTTTTTATTCGTCTCACAATGTCGTACTTATGCTTTTGTTTTTGTTTTGAATGAAAGGATCGGAGAGGTTCCGGGCAAACACGCAGCCGCCACATGCAGAGTCTGGGAGGTGGACGGACGGGTCTGTGCGACCACGATGACAACCTGCGCCTGGGCTGGTGAGTACGTTTTCTTTTTTGCAGGTGGCGCGGAGGGGCCTCCCTGTGTGGAGTTTTTATGTTCCCCCCGTGTCTGCCTGCATTTTCTCCGGCAACCTCGGTTTGCTCTCACACACCAAAAACATGCACCGTAGGTTTATTATTTATTCTAAATTGGCCCCAGATGTGATTGTGAGTGCAAATGGTTGGTTGTTTATTGTGTGCCTCGCGATTGGCTGGCAATCGGTTCAGGGTGCCCCCCGCCTGCTGCCGAAAGACAGCTGCGATGGGCTCCGGTGCGTCACCTCGTGAGGACGAGCGGATGGACGGAACACCGGGACACACTATCTGCTTGGCAGCACAGTAAGTGAAGCGGTTTACCATCTGCGCGTTATGTTTGCTCCATATTTACCTGTTAGCACCAGGCAAACACAAGCGGGTTTTTTTCCGCAAAATGCCTGACGCTAACCGATAAATATGCCGCAAACAGAGTGCACGAATGGTGAACCGCTTCACTTGGTGTTGCCATGCAGACTGTGTGTCCCGTTGTTCCGGTGTTCTATCCATCTCAGTCTCCATTTTCTGATCCGCTCCTCCCCACAAGGGGGTGTGCTGGAGCCCATCGCAGCCGTTTTTGGCCAGTAGGTGGGGTACATCCTTGAACCGGTTGTCAGCCAATCATGGGGCACACAATAAACAAACAACTATTTGCACTCACAATCACATCACTGGCCAATTTAGAGTAAATAATAAACCTATGGTGAATGTTTTTGGTGTGTGAGAGCAAACCGAGGTAGTCAGAGAAAATGCAGGCAGACACGGGGAGAACATAAAAACTCCACACAGGTAAGCCAAAGCGGGGATTTGAACCCCGTACCTCCGCGCTGGGAAGCCAGCGCACTAACCACTAGACTACGGAGGTTCCTTGCCCAGCACATTGGGAGGCGCTATTTGTCATCATGTTTCAAAGGGGAGGAGTTAAAAACAAACGGAGACAAGTGTTGTCGTTGTACTTAGTGTTTTATTTCTTTTGCAGGGGAGGACTTGGTGACGCCCACGGTTGTGGAACCGCTCCCCCTCGCAGCGCTGGACCACCTGCAACAGAGAAATATGTTACACCAGGGGGAGGACACTTGGGCTCCCCGACACCCCTACTCTGCCTGCTTGAGATCTCGCTCTAAGAAGAGCAAGATCTCAAGCAGGCAGGCTAGGGGTCTCGGGGAGCCGAAGTTCCTCGAGAGCCAGAGCCTGCCTGCATTCGATCTCTCTAGATCGAAAGTAGGCAGACTCTGACTCTCGAGGAAGTTCAGTTCCCTCCCCCTGTGAAAAACAAAGGGTCTCAAACGCCGGTCGTCAGGGGCCGCTTTCCTGCCTGTTTTCCGTCTGTCCCTGATGCAACACACACACACCTGATTCAAATGATCAAGAATGATCATTTGAATCAGGTGTGTGTGTTGCAGCAAGAAGAGTCAAAAGCAGGCAGGAAGTCGGAAAGCGGCCCTCAACAACCGTCGTTTGAGAGCCCTTGTGTGAAACAAATGGTCAATTACTCACCCCTGCCACCATCTTGTTCCTCACGACCCAGTCAAGATACGTTGATCCTAAACAAACAAATAAAGAGAAACATGACACCAGTTGTTGCACCATGTCGTATCTGGTGTTTTTCCTCACCTTCAGTCTTGCCCAGGCAGCTTGCTGGTGAGTCCTGGTGGACGCAAAGTGTTGCCATAGTGACGTGAAGAAGAAGCAAATAGTTTCTGACTGCCACCATCTTGTTCCTAAGGACCCGGTCGAGACACGTTGAGCCTACACACCCAAAATAAACAAAAATAAATGAGGAGAAACATGACATCAGTGGTTGCCCCAAGTCATCTCTGGTGTACTTCCTCACCTTCAGTCTTGCCCATGCAGCTTGCTGGTGAGTCCTGGTGGATGCAAAGTGTTGCCATAGTTACGTGAAGAACAAGCAAGCAGTTTGACGAGTTTTATGTCTTTGTAAAGAATACATTTGTTGAAGTGATTGAGTTCATGTTCCTACCTGAATCAGGATGATTCTGCCAGTGAAGCTCCTCATCACCGTGTGCGGAAACAATAAAACGAGGTCCTGGTTGTACGTGCAGGGTACTCGGCAGGGAGGAGAGCGGGGACCGGCTGGACACCTTGAAGAAGACAAGCCTGCAGCAGGACGGTGGCCTGAAAACAGAGAACAGTCAGCGTTGCAGTTTTTGCAGCACCAGAGACATTCAATCATACAAAAGGAAGTCGGCCATGTTGGGGTCAGTGTCGGAAGACACTGGTGTTAAACTCAAGGCCCGAGGGCCACATCTGTCCCTTGGTAACCAAAATGCCAGTTCTTACAATTCTTTACGTATGTGTGGAAAAGAAGTCGGTCACCTGGACACAGAGCAAAGCCAAAGGCTATTTGGCCCGCCTGAGGGTCTTGTGTTAGTGGCACCGGGCCACGTTGTTCCATTACGACAATGTCTGTGAAACACTTTACTTTTTGAGACTGTAATTTATATGATGTTTTTTTTTTTTAACAATTTACTGGACATCATGTTCTAAAAGCTTGACCACGCAATTTGCAATTTGTTTTTTAACAGCCTGTATAAAATCAGATTTTTACAACCTGCCTGGACATATTGCTTTTCAATCATAGTAAAGTGTTTTTGGCACGAAAAAAACGACAAAGTATAGTAAGGCGTTTTTAGCACGAAAAAAACGACAAAGTATAGTAAGGCGTTTTTAGCACGAAAAAAACGACAAAGTATAGTAAGGCGTTTTTAGCACGAAAAAAAATTTGGCACGAAAAAAACGACAAAGTATAGTAAGGCGTTTTTGGCACAAAAAAACGACATAGTATAGTCAGGCGTTTTTAGCCGAAAAAAACGACATAGTATAGTAAGGCGTTTTTGGCACGAAAAAAACGTCATAATTTAGTAATGCGTTTTTGGCACGAAAAAAACGACATA